CCGGGGCCCGTGGGCCGCCCCGTGCACGCTGGAGGCCTCTGGGGCCTGGCCCGTTCCTAATTGCGTTTATCAAACGAATAAAGGATGGGAAATGCCCAACAATTGCGCTATCGGGAGTATTTACAGCTCTATTTTAATTAACTGTTTTAATTACCGATGCAATAAACTATCTGGCGCACATACATAATAATGCGCTACAGAAAACGAGGTGAGGGCTCGGGCTCCTCGGGGGCGTTCTGTCCCCTTCCCCCGGGTCGGGAGGGGTGCGGGAGTGCGGGCGCAGCCACCGAGAGGGGGAGCGGGGGCAGAGCGGGATGCCGGCCGCGAAATGCAGAAGATGAAACGGTCCCCGAGTTTTCTGTGTGGGTGACAATACCACCACCGCTCCCTGGAAGAACGCAGCCACGTTGGAAGGGCGGCCTGCGGAGGGGTGGTTTAATCCCAGTGGATTTACAAAATCGTTGCCTTTGCTGTAATTTATGGAAATGAAAAGTGCTCACATTAAACAAATAGTCTGCAAATGTTCTCCGTGATGGGCTCTGCGGCACACGCACTCTTACTTGCAGGTTGTGAGTTTCTTAAAAAGAAAATGAATGTCAACTGCTTGCATTTTACGTATTTACTGTTCTAATACTCGCCGATTTCTCGAAAAGCCCCAAGGATACAACCTATCGCGGTAACTGTATCGGAAAGAATATACACGTTTTCATATTATTTTTTTCCCTGAACCCACTGGTAACCAATCTAAAGCAAACTCTTAAGCAGTCTTGTGGAGATGGGAGATTGCAGCTCCATTTTTTGTCCTTAGCTGCAAATAGAGGTTTAACTTGCAGTAATTAGGTGAGAACTAGCCAAGCATCTTACTATTATGATGCTTGTTAAAAACGCTTCTTTTCTGCATCTGCATTTGAGTGTGTTCCCCTCCACTCTTAATCTTCTTATGGAAATGAAGGCGAACGGCAGGGAACCTGCAGAGACTTAGAGAATGTCCTTGTTAACTGGAATTTCTCAGCATTGCTAATTAGCAGAGTTTGACGACCACCAGTATTGGGGAAAGCTCTGTTTAGCCACTCACAAACCCTTCCGAGGAAGAGCAGACTAATTTTATTTTGTAATTAAAATCTGAAAAGGGGCCTATTTGACAGTTAGGGCTATGAGAGTTTTATCTCCCTGTGAAATAATTACTGCCTTGATAACTCAATTTTCTGCAAAATGTCAACTGTGAGCTCCAAAAGTTTTAATTTCATTACGTTAAAAAAAACAAAAAAAAAACCCAAAAACAAAAAAAAAACCAAAAAAAAAAAAAAAACCAAAAAAACCAAAAAAACCAAGCCAGAATTGGGGAGCGTGAGGTAATTCCCCAAGCACATGTGTATTATGACCTTGCCACCCGCGTTTTCCCGCAAGCCTTCGGCACTCCGCCACCCTCACCACCAGCCTCTCCACTGACACACGCTGGTTCCAGGCCCCCAGCTGGGGCCCCTCTGCCACTCTGCTGCTTCTTTCCCACCTTGCACTAAGTCCACCTCCCAGTCTTCTCTGTCCTCAGCTCTCCTGCCCCACAAC